GTTCATCCTTACACTGAGTCGATCTGCTGGATCAATTGAACAATTTGTCTCTCAGATATATTCAGTTGAAGAGTTTGTCCCTGGATATTTGTACTGAAACATACTAAAACCAAAAGTTAAAACATTATATTAGTTAATAGGAAATTATCCTGATATAAGCAGTTAAACAGAATTGAAAGCATTATTTCCAAATCGTGCCACATAAATTTAGCCAAAGAACAGTTCACCGTATCGCAGTGGACTCCTCTTATGGTCTTGCACATTGCTTTATGTTTGTTCCAACAGGATTCGATGTTTGGAGTATGCATGCCAAGAGGTGATGTGAAAGGGAAGTTGGGGTCACTGTGGTTAACCTGAGCATGTTGGAAACCGAGGAGAGGCTGAATGTTATTACACGCAGCCCATGAATGGAGTGAATGGTGCACCTAGGCTGGACAGTGCATTGCAAACTAAGCAGCCAAGCTGGGACAGGACGCTTGCCAGCAATTTCCAAATAACCAATAGCTGGTTGATGGCTACTATCAATAGTACCAAAAATCCATATTTTCCTCTCTGGAGCAGGGCCACAGTGGTACTTGATTTTGTGGCTAAAACAGGACTTCACAGGGACAAATTGTTAAATTGATCCAGTCTGCCTCTCTCTGCAACTTCCTTGTCCAGAAAGGAGTTTGTAGTCATTAAGAGAAAGACAAATAAAGGTAGCTATGTTAGCCAGAAATTACATAGAGACGTGTATTCCAGGACCCATGTTAGTTAGGTAAACTGTATGTATAACCTACATATAGTTTCCGAGTGGTTCTGAATGGCACAGTCAACCTTATAGTTAATCTGCTCTGCTAAGCTGAGCCATTGAGCAGAGCAAGGGACTGGCTGGCCCTGGTCACACCTGCACAGCCCCCAGCAGAGAGCTTGGAACTGGAACTGGGAGGGAGGCGTCGTCCCAGAGCTGTCCAACTCATTGGGTCTGTAATGAGAAGTAGGACATGTAAAATGAGTCAGGGACACTTCAGCAGGTGAAGGGAAAATGTTGGGGGCAGCATTGGGTCTTTCAGAGTCCCTCAGCCCATGCTACAGGCAACCTCCTGGGTCCACCTTCCCAGGTACAGGTACACAAGGCTAGTAATGAGCCCGCAGGGTTGGGACTGCTGAGGCCACGGACAGCTGAGGTCCAGGCCGAGCCT